TTCCACAGTGTCCTCATCAAGGGGAACAGGACCATTCCAATCAATGCCATATTCATCAGTAACATCAACCAGGTCTGTATTGTTTTCTGCAGAATTCAGTGAACCTTTGATCCAAAGTTGAAGAGGTGTGTTGTTGTTGGCTGTAGACAAGGGATGTCTCAGCCAGGCAGCAGACCATTCATGTAAACGATAGTTTATGTGATGAAGGAATGCATAATGAAGGCACCATAAATCACACTCAGATAAAGGGTCAAAGATACCCAGTTCCTCCATCAGAGAAAACAACTCGTAGAAATTTGCCAAAACATCTTCAAACACGTCCCGCCACATTCGCTCAATTCTTTGATTGTGCACACTTTTACCAACCAGAGCTGAGCCTCTCCCTGTTCCTCGAGTACTCAACATATATTTGACAACATCCACATTTTCAGATCCCTGATCACATCTGACTCTTGAGGGCAATCCCCAGTCTTGTACCGCTTTGATAAAAAGTGAGTACACAGTAACAGCTTTGTTGTTTGTGCTGCATGATAAAAAAACTGGGATTCGACTGAAGCCATCCACACAGCCATGGACAACAAAACGCCACTTCACAAGTTTGTGATTTCCATCAAAGTGCCAGAGACCAAGTGGCCTGCTCACATTATACACGCGCCGTTTTATTGCTTTGCAGCGTCTTGCAGCAACTGCAAGAGGGTCCACCCTAGAAAGTGACTCCCTTATCCGACGTCTAGGCAGAAATATACCCCTTGCACCAAAGTACCCAGCCAACATTTTTGACCCACAGCTTGGGTTCCCTCTTTTTATATCCCTCACTATGTCATCCAACTGACTATCCTGCATTTCGGTGTATAAAGCACGTACTGAGAGGCCATGTTCTTGCATTCGTCGTTCTATGGTCCTTGAACTGACGTGCAAAAGGTCTGCAATAGATCGGACACTAAATCTAGCTCTTAGAAGCATCTCAAGTTGTTCCTTCCTGATGTCATAAGCTGGCCTACCAGGAGTACCACTACGAACAACACTTGCTCTTTCCTCATTCTGCTGTAAAAGTGATCGTGCGCTACTCAACAAATTAAACAACTCTTCAGGTATTCTTGTCACTGAATCAAGGAGATTCACATGCTTTTGAATTTCTTCAAGCTCCTCCACTAAGTCACTGTCATGAGACACACCAACACAAGCAACAATCTCTTGTAATCGGGAGGTAACTTCATGCCTTAAGTCGGAAATAGTGTTAGTTGCCATCGTTTTATACTTCGAGGATAAATTGCTTCTACATACTCAGCTACATTTTGCTTTTTCTGGGCCTACAAAGTCAAGATGTCTATCCCTTGATCATTCGCAATGTCTGCCATGCTGTTCTCATGTGTAAAACCGCTGACTACTTGGAGATAGTAAGGTACGAAAATAATACGAAACAGTGCCTAATAATAAAGATGAAATAATAATAGAAAATAATGCCAAACAATAATAAAATAGTGCCTAATAATAAGAGATTGTGCCTAATAATAAAACATTGTGCCTAATAATAATAAACTGGTGCCTAATAATAAAACATTGTGCCTAATAATAATTAACTGGTGCCTAAT